CACTTGCCATAGGAATTCAAGCAACTTCAGCAGAAAAACCTTCATGAGTGCCCACACACCATACTCAAATACCATCTCACCACTGACTACGGCTCCAGAACAGTGTTAATGAACAATACTGATATAGCCAGGAGATGGAAAGACAAAAAGAAAAAACAGTACTTCTTTGATTTTACAAACCAGAAAAAAATAAATAAATAAAAAAGCACATGTTCATCATGATCCTCCAAGCTATCCAGGATTTACCAAAAAACAAACAAAATGAAAAAAAAAAAGAAACTTGTTAAATCCAATACAAAACCCTAAGAAGAGTATAATTCTCTATTTTAGATTTAAATAAAATAAATGTGATTTCCAGTTTCCATTTCAACAACATTTTACTGTTAAGTTTTGTAGGTTGATCTTCATACACATGCAAATTTCTTCAGAGGCGATCCTTTTGTTTCCCGAGTTGTGAGGTAGCCCCTTGGGATCCAGGCAGAAAGACAACCAGAGGTGGGTGTGTCTGTGCCTTTCTTCTGTTCCCCATTTTCCATTTTGTCATGCTCTTTGTGTAGGTGTTGGCTAACATCTCAAGGCCCTCAATCTGTCTTGCCTCAGCTTCCCATTACTTTAAGCCCAAAGTGGAACTGGTCTACTTTGGGGGAGGAGACTTTGAGGGCCAAATGTCTCAGCCGGTTTCTCACTGGGTACACGATAAATCGGATCTAGAGATGTCCATCCATACAGGAAACTAAAATGAAACACAAAAAGTATTCCTGCCATTACCGCTTTGTGGAAAAGTGTGCACATTTGTTGTTTCTTTATCTTCATTCATTCATATCTTTTCCCATCATCCTTAAACAGCATACTATTAGCATCTCCTCCCGTTTATCTATATTGTCCCTGCCCATTTGGAAAATTCAGTCTTTTTCTGTCCTTCTGAAAAATCCTGTCCATATTTAAAGTCCTGTCTTAAATCATGTCATCCTCTCTACCCCTTTTCATGTTATTCTGGTTCACTATTAATTCTTCATCACAGAACTCGTACAGTGCTTATCATCTGCATTACCCACTGTAGTCATTAGCTCCTGATTTTATTGTGTGCAAGGAGTTGAAGAACACTGTACACTCCTAGAGGGTTTGTACTATAACTTCAAAGCCCCATGATACCTCCTACATTATAAGATGTGTTGCTGAAGTAATTCCAATAAGTTCTGTACATTTCAAACAATTCTCAAACTGTCATGCCACTCTAAACAGTCACTGATGATTAATCAAATTGCTCAGGAAATCTCATAGTTCTCTGTGATTAAGTGACATCAGAGGTGCATGTTATAAAGGCAGATTCCTGAGTCCTCCCTCCAGGGATTGCAGTTTGTTTCAGTATGAGCTTGAAAGGTTTCTTTTATTCTCTTTCTCTATTTCATTTTCCTTCTTATTTTATTTTTGCATGTTATTTTTGTAGTTTTTATAATTGACAACAAGTAATTCTGAGCCAGGTAAGCCAAGGACCAAACTCTGAGGAATGCTATCATGCAAGCTTCAGATATTTTCATTTATGAGGTTCCATAGGCTTAGGGAATACTATCTCAAAAAGCATGTCTGCCCTCTCAGTCTGAGTTTTCTTATGTGATATTTGGTCATACAATCAGCAAATGTATTGTAAGCCTCAGAGCAAATGCCTTAAAGTGGGGACAGCAGAGAGAAAAATGAGAATATGAAGCCTGGCTGCCCCTACACATTGAATTGAGTCTTCTGGATTTGGGGTTCAGATAAATTTTACAAATCATTAGTTCAACAGAGGGAAAAATCACCCTCTTAGGTATCCAATGAATTGTGAAAAACTCTTAGAAGCATTTATAAAGGAGACCAGCTGCACTTCCTTAGCCATTGATTGATCAGTGAAGCATAAAATTTGATTATTGTCTTTTCTAAAATTCTTTAACAGTCATGGCTCATTAGAAATAAAACCATCTACAGTTGTCCTATTCAGGATCAAACTAAATATATGACTCAGCGAGCCACTGCCCACACAGGGCAATCTTCAGTTTCCCCATAGAAAAATCTTTGAGGGTGGGTGGAATTTGTTAGCACAGAATGTCAAAAATGTTCAGTCACTCATTAAGTGCCTTGTTATGAGGCCTTTCAGACTCTTCCCACCTCATGAATCTTTTACACTAAACAGCAGCAGGGACTAGGAACTAGGGTGACACATAAGAGATGGTGGGTATGAAAAAGTGACTTGATGGGAAAATCTCTGCATGGAAGTCAGGAGACCTTGGTGCCCATTCCCAGCCTGCAAGAAATCTCAATCATGAACATTTATTGAGCACTTTGCTAAAAGTTTCACTGTTTCTTCATTTTTTTTCCAAAAAATGCTGTCATATTCATTTTGGAAATTAAGAAATCATGTCTCAGTAAATTCAAGAGACCTTCCCAGTGCTACATAGTTACTGAGTGAAAAATGTGGCACATATGCACCGTGTAATACTATGCAGCCATAAAAAGAATGAGCTCATGCCCTTTGCAGGGACATGGACGAAGCTGGAAACCATCATTCTCAGCAAAGTTACACAAGAACAGGAAACCAAATCCTGCATGTTCTCACTCATAAGTGAACAATAAGAACACATGAACACAGGGAGGAGAATATCACACATGGGGCCTGTTGGAAGATGAGGGCCTAGTGGAGGGACAGCATTAGGAGAAATATCTAATGTAGATGACAGGTTCATGGGGTGCAGCACACCATCATGGCACGTGTATACGTATGTAACTAACCTGCACATTACGTTCTGCACATGTACCCCAGAACTTAAAGTATAACACACACACACACACAGACACACACAAGCGAAAATTAAAGCCAGGATGTTTAACTCCAAAGCCTCCTCTGAATCCTCATGCTCGCCTGCGATCACTTGAACCACATGATAAATGGAAGTAACATAAAGTGTAGGTGTGCAATCATGTATATGTCTATGTCAATGTTTTTGTGTATGTATATTCCAGTTCTGTATTGCCTTACTTGTCTTATAGTAGATACTGTATTTTTTGTAAAAGTGTAGGATCCTAAGGTTGGCTTGCAAAGAAAAATGCCTCCTGCAGTCAGACAGGATGTATGGGCAGAGTTATGTGACATAAAAGCAATAGGTATCGCTGAGCTATTGACAGGAGCCCAAAGCAACAGGCTTTTAAGTGTTACATGGAACACAGGACTAAGATCCACAGTATTTCTCAATTGTTTCTACATAGTTTGATGTGAAGCCTTTTGATTTTAAAATATTGTCTCAAAAAACATATGCTTATCACCAGAAAGTCTGTTAGCTGCTGGCTTGATGTAGCTGCATTACAAAAATACAGTCTTATTGTTACAAAGAACCCTTGCATTAGGAGGCAGGGGAATAATATTTTTCACTTAACTTGCAAAACATCACATCACCTTTGCAGGATCTCAGTTGCCTCATGCCTAAAGTCGTTCTGACAGGAGGTTGCTCTAGATGCTTTTCCCTGCTCCCCAAAGCCAAAGTGTCTAATTTATGGCAGTGTGTACATGAGAAAATCTTTTGTTCTCTGTGATCAAGAGAAAAAGTAATTAGAAAAAGCAATGCAAAAATTCAAAAGTAGGCCAGACGTACAGAAAAAGAATGGCTTTTCTCCATGAATCACTGGTATTTTAGCAGTGAATATACACTGGACAAGCATTAGGTAAACAAGAGGTTGTTATGTCAGGAGGGTGCCTCCAGGAGGGAAGGAGTTTACCATGATGGAGTCATTCAGACTACTAAGGTAGTTATCTCTGTCTCTGCTCTTTCATTTCTTTGTATAGAATTGGTTATTCTCTAGTTTGCCTTAATTTCAACGTTTAAAGATTCCTTTTAGTGATTATTGTAAGACGAGTCTACTAGCTATGGGTGTCAGTTTTTGTTTATCTGGGAGTATCTTAATTTCACTTTCAGTTTTCGATGGAGTTTCAAGGGAGATAAGAGTTCTTCGCTGAGAGTCTTTTTGTTTTGTCACTACAAATATGTCATCTAATTGCCTCCAGTTATGTCTCTTCTCTCCTCCTACGATTTCCTGGTACAGACTGGGATGCTGGCTGATTTCCTGAAGGATACTGAGTCTCTTTAAATTTTATTTCATTATTGTTTCTTTTTGTTCCGGGGACTGGATTGTCTTAATTGATATATATTCCATTTCTCTGAGTATTAATTTCCTACCTGCTCAACCATGCTTTAGACCCTTCTACTGACTTATTTATTTCCTTGCTGAATTTTCTTTTCTTTTTTTTTTTTTTTTTGAGTGGGAGTTTTACTCTTGCTCTGCCTGCAATGATGTGGTCTTAGCTCACTGCAGCAGCCTCTGCCTTCCAAGTTCAAGTGATTCTCCTGCCTCAGCCTCCCAAATTAGCTGGGATTACAGGCACCCACCACCATGCTTGGCTAATTTTTGTATTTTTAGTAGAGACAGGATTTCACCATGTTAGCCAGGCTGGTCTCAAATTCCTGACCTCAGGTGATCCACCCACCTTGGCCTTCCAAACTGCTGGGATTACAAGCATGAACCACCGTGCCCAGCTTCACTGCTCAATTTTCTACCCCAGTATTCCTCTTTGGTACAATTTTAAAACTTCTCTTCCGTACATTTTTAAAACTTCTGTGTCGTGATCATCTCTATTTGGCAAGACCTCATTCTCACACTTTCCTCTAGTTCTTTAGATGTGGTTTCCTTTAGTTCTTTGAACTTATTAAAAATAACTGATTTGTCTAGTAAGTCCAATGTATTTTCCTCTTCAGAAATAAAGTCTATTGACAGATTTTAGTTTTCTGTATATGGGCCATACTTTTTTTTTTTACATGTCTCATAATGTTTGGGGGAAAACTGGACATTATATTAATACATAATGCAATAGGACAATTCTGGAAATCAGATTCCTCCTCACAAGATTTGTTGTTGTTATTTTTTGTTATAGTTGTTGTTGTTATTTTTTGTTATAGTTGTTATAGTTGCTAGGGACCTAGCCTCGAAGACCTCTTCAATTTCTGTTCAAGAATGTTCACAATGAAAACTGTATTTATGGCTGACCACATGATCAGTAGAATTGGGTATGTGCATACAAAAAATTTTATACACAGAGACATTAAACCAGATAACTTCCTAATGGGTATTGGACATCACTGTAATAAGTTATTCCTTATTGATTTTGGTTTGGCCAAAAAGTACAGAGACAACAGGACAAGGCAACACAAAGCATACAGAGAAGATACAAACCTCACTGGCACTGCCCGATATGCTAGCATCAATGCACATCTTGGTATTGAGCAGAGTCGCCGAGATGACATGGAATCATTAGGATATGTTTTGATGTATTTTAATAGAACCAGCCTGCCATGGCAAGGGCTAAAGGCTGCAACAAAGAAACAAAAATATGAAAAGATTAGTGAAAAGAAGATGTCCACTCCTGTTGAAGTTTTATGTAAGGGGTTTCCTGCAGAATTTGCCATGTACTTAAACTATTTTTGTGGGCTACACTTTGAGGAAGCCCCAGATTACATGTATCTGAGGCAGCTATTCCGCATTCTTTTCAGGACCCTGAACCATCAATATGACTACACATTTGTTGGACAATGTTAAAGCAGAAAGCAGCACAGTAGGCAGCCTCTTCCAGTGGGCAGGGTCAGCAGGCCCAAACCCCCACAGGCAAGCAAACTGACAAAACCAAGAGTAACATGAAAGCTCGTAAAGATGAGAAGTTGGATCCACTCAGTTGGGATGTTTCCTTGGAGGGGGGGAAACTGTAATTAAACTTGTTTAATCCTTAAAAAAAAAATAGTTGTTTGTTTAATCACTTTTATAATCTAAATACGAAAAGTCTCCATTCTTCATTGAGTGTGGCTACTGAGGCCTCTGTTAAGTTACCGTAGTAGTCAGCTAATCACCTGAGGAGGATGCTGTCCTTAAATGTCTGAAAACAGTAAGTCTCCAAAATGAAATAAGGCCTGTGGTGTGATACATTTCAATTTCATAGAGGTTGGGATATCAAGCAGCTCAGCTCTGCTCACTTATTTGGTTTATTAATTTTTCCAGGATTGGAAAACAAATGTGAAAATCATTTTTTTTCTTATCAAGAACACAAAATTTTTCTAAATGTAAATGTGTTCTCGATATGTAAATATCAGCCAGGCCTTGGCAATTTTTCTTCATTGTCAATAAATCAATGTACAACTACCATGGTTTTCAGCTCTTTTACCAAACAGAGGAGCTTGGCAATGCTGTCAGAAAGGATCAGTGATGCACTTATTATATTACAGCATTATATAGACTAAAGAGAAAACAAATTATATAACATCATATATATATGGCATACTAGATATATTTCATTAAGATAAATATGAAGTATCAAACCATTAACTCTAGAGGTAAAATACTTCTGGAAAGAAGATTGCCACAACTATCTTACACAGTTCTGCTAACTTAGATATTTTGAGTCAACCAACTACAGGCATTTTTAAAACAGAGTGAATTGGGTGGTATCTAAGATAGGATGTATAACGTCTTTTTTCACCATGGTCTTGGGCTATGTTGATATCTTCTTTATGTTGGAAATTGTATATATGCTTTCTGGAGATAATAGCTTAGAATACTGACCAAAAATAGAAACTTTATGAGAAAAAGAAGAAATAAGGGAGGAAGATCAATAAGGAGATTGTTAAGATGGAGAAGAAAAAATGAAAAGCAATGCATGGGTGTGAAGGTTACTTCAGTATCAGTGTTTGTGTCTGGCACCACTCTAGGTATGTAGTAAATTCCAAAATCTTTTCTGATCTGAAGTGAATTTAGTAACTAATTTGATAAATAGAAGTTAACCTAGTAGGAGACCAATGAAAAGGTGCAGGTTTGGGGTAGGTTGAAATTGTTATGATTGGTTTAAAATTGTTGGCTTTTCTTGTTCTTGTGTCAGTTTGCTGAGAATGATGGCTTCCAGGTTCATCCATGTCCCTACAAAGGGCACGAACTCATCTTTTTTTGGCTGCATAGTATTCCATGGTGTTATATGTGCCACATTTTCCCCATCAAACACCGCATGTTCTCACTCATAGGTGGGTGTTGAACAATGAGAACACATGGACACATGGAGGGGAGCATCACACACTGAGGTCTGTGGGGGGAAAATAGGGGAGGTTCAGTGGGCAGTGGGGAGTTGGGGAGGGATAACATGGGGAGAAATGCCAGATATAGGTGATGGGGAGTAAGGCAGCAAACCACATTGCCATGTATGTACCTATGCAACAATCCTGCATGTTCTTCACATGTACCCCAAAACCTAAAATGCAATACAATATAAAATAAAATAAAAATAAAATTGTTGGCTTTGCCAAGAGTCTATTACTCTAAACTGAAGGAAGAAAGAAACAAAATGTAAGAGAAGGCCAAAAAACTTGAATTGTGAGCTGTATTTACATTAAATGATAAACTCTGTAGTCAAAGAATATCTCAGAAGATTTAAAAATATGTTTTTATATACTGTTTTTTTGTTTTTGTCTTTTGTTTTTTGTTTTTTTAGAAAAGACACGGAATGATTCAGGTGTTCAAGATGTTCATTTTCTTCTAAATCCATCCTGCTGTCTCTATTCCAAGGTTGAGGCTCTTATTTCTTTCCAGTGTTCTAATAACCACATGAAGGGCTTTGTGACTATAAATTACATTATCTTGTAATCATGCAACTGCTGCTATAAAATTTGGACTTATTTTTTAGAGATAGATGGAAGAAATAAGATTATAGTTTCAGGTCACCATTGAAGCTTTCCATTACTTAGCCATTGAGTTGATCTCAGAGACTAGAGACTAAGTCTACAATTTCTTTTTGAAAGCTCCAGAGCAGTGAGTATTGGCCATCTTATAGGCTTCATAGTCTTTATTATTTCTGTAACATAAAGTACAGTTACCACCTAGTGCCCAATGCACTTGCTCTTAGTGCCCAATGCATTTGTACTAAGATCTTTGCCACAGTCAACCACAAGTGACATTAATTGTGATGAAACCGAGTGCCAGGGATTGCCATTTCCCCTGTTTCTTTCAGTAAAGAACTCAGTTCTATATTCAGTGCCAGGTACATCATCAAACTATTCCCATAAACTATGCACACGTGGTTCTGCTGCCTTGGAGGAGGCTAGTTTCAGGAACTAGATCCTTTAACACTGCCGCTTCTAGAGTAGGTGACTTGCTGACAGAAACAGTGAACAGAACAGTAAGGAGTCATTCCTTTTCCCCTTCCTGTGTTTCTGTCTTCCTTTTGTGCATTTTTCTAGGGGACTTAAGAGGAAGCCATCTAATAACAGAGAAGATTTTTTTGCACTGTCTCATTATGAAGCAGAGTACAGAAAGATAAATTTGAAAGGCAAAGGAATTGCATGAGTATTGGCATACCTTCATAGGCAGCAATGAGTCATTTTTTAAAGTAAGCTTATGTGTTTCATGTATTGAGTATATTTGTATATAGAACTGGGAGTGAATCTCTAAACGGAAGCTCAAGTATGAAATATATGTGTGTGTGTGTATAAAATGTTTGTATTTATATCAGCATGAGTGGGAAGAGAATAGAGGGGGGAAAATTATGTAAACATAGTGCAGTCAAAAGTCAGAAATTTTTAGTTTTCCATAAACCTATCAAGAAAAATTAAGTGTATATTTATAGGTATATCTGTTTGTGTGTGTTTGAATTCTTACCCAAAAAGATTGTTTGAGCTTAAACGTAGAATTAAACTTGAATACACATTTACTTAAACCAGTTATATCCCTGTTTTGGGAAAAAATTATTTTACTGAGGTAAGTATAATGCACTACAATATAATAAATTATTATACCAAATGTATTAGATGTAAAAATTAGAGTATGGGAAAATTGGAGTCTACTTGAATTTATAACAAAACATTTTTTATCAAACCATTTATCATTTTCAGTAAAACAGTATTTTGGAACCAAAATACAATAAGCCTTCCAATTGGACTGTCTATTTATAAAAGAGTAAGCCATTTTGGACCTCTCACTTGAGTATTTTATTGCATTTCTTAGGTTGAGTCATCAAAAATATCCTACTGGACATAATATAATTTTGTATAAACAGTAGTTCCATTATTCCTCTTCAGGATGTAAATGGAATCAGACATGCCATTGCCAAACTTAAGGATTCTGCATAACTCATGCATTCTAGAGCATACACAAAATATAAAACCGAGTCTTTGAGAAAGATGTTTAAGACAAATAAGCGCCAAGGAAAAGGAAGGAGAAATTAGATTTTGAAAACCAAATTGTTTGTTGGCAGGAACACATTATGGTTTTTACTCTGTTTCTACAAAGAAATTCACCAATTTTTGACAATAAATTTGAGGAAAAGGAGGAAGAGCCTTTGGAGTTGCCTGGCTTCAGGGTTTCAGAAAGTGAGCCTTGGTGTGCTGAGACATGCTCTTAGAAAATTTCAAAGCTCAATGTATTTTTTGAGGTTTGGTATCTCAAGTGCATTCCAAGATTGATAAGCAAGTTCAGGATATTCCAGAAAGAAAAAAGGAAGATAACTTACTTTATCATAGACAATGAGTTTTTAGATTGCACATAATTTAAAAGAGGATATTTATAACACTGGAGGTAGTGATTTTTTTTTTTTGAAGAAATTACATTCGAACCAGTGAGAGGTGGTATGAATCCCTAGATGGAAAATAGTATCACTTTTACATTTGAACTGTTTGGATTGACAGAATTTAAAAAAAACAAAGCAGAATCAGTAAAGTCAAACCTTTTACATTGTCATCATCTTTTTGATGAAGATATCTTCTTATATCTGTCTAAAATATTTTATTCTTTGCTATAAAAGCCTTCAATATCAATTGATATTTGTATTTTTTTAATCATACAGGATTGATTACTTGAGCTATAGTGATCTACAACTAACAAAGTAGACTAGAAACAAGCTACTTGTTGATGAACATGAGGCTTGGCTAGTTCCTAGTTGTTTGGATTCACATTCCCCATGGGATGTCTAAGATACCCTCTTCGTGCTACTTCGAGCTTCAGTGGCAGGATTATCATATCCAACTGCATTTTTTAGGCTGATTAAGTGAAACAGCTCCACTGAGTCAAGGAAGGCAAGCCACTAGGAACTTCCCCATTTATGTCTACCCATTCTCATCCCTAAAAAGGTTGTGACTTAGTTAATATGCCTGTATGTCATTTTACCTAACAATAATAATCTCCCATGATGGAGTTACAGAAAGATAACTATGGCCACTCTATATGCTGATTTTGTATTGAGATAAAAAAATTCTCATGAGAAGTGAAACAGTGAAAAGTCCTTGGTATTTTTAAATACATATGCAATGTGCAAATACATGCACATGTATTCTATGAGCATTATTATGCATATAAATATTTACATATTAACTATTCATATAGTTAGGGTATTTGATTCAGACAGAGAGAGAGTGTCATTTTTTGTTTAACAAAATGTTGGACTAAGAGCTAATTGTTTTCTGGAATCTGAAGTTCTTGTCACTTAGAACAAATGATAGCCATGCACAGCATTGGAGTAGACAGCTTCATGTTGAGAAGAGGGTCTTTACGGTCCATTTTGTTTATTTTATGTGCCTTTTTATGCTTTTACTAGGGGAAATGCCTTCCCCCTGCCTATTTTTTTTTTTTTTTTTTGAGACGGAGTTTCACTCTTTTTGCCCAGGCTGGAGTGTAATGGTGCCATCTCGGCTCACTGCAACCTCTGCCTCCTGGGTTCAAGCAATTCTCCTGCCTCAGCCTCCCAAGTAGTC